GCAGGAGTATCAGTATCAAATAGGCAAGTTGCAAAAATGTTAATAATGAATGTATCAGTAAAATCAAATGTTCCCAGACAACATGTTTGTTTTCCATCAGAATACCTGATGTTGCAGTCTAACATCCAGCTGTCAAGTGGTTCCGATTCTGTTCAGACTCTCAAAGCTCTGATTTTGACCTGCTTTAATAAAGAAAGAGCACTGACTTCAGACATGGTGTATTTGTTTACATACAACAGGCACCACCACCGAGTGCATCTGGATGGTCCAGCACTTTCTATGTCCTCCATCCATCCTGACCATGTCCCCAGTGTTACAGTCATCCTAGTGTTAGTGATTTGGGTGAACTGACCCTTTAATTAAAGACCACCCTGAAAACCCACAGTGAACATTCACAACTGGCTTCTGCAAAGGACACAAGCACACAACCAAGTTACACACAGAGGCTGTGTGTTGGTTGCTAAAAGCAGAGAGGGTGACATCTTTAAAAGGTTAGTTTCTTAGCCCTGTGGCTGGATTAGGAACCAAAGCACAAGCATTATATTTATCCATATCTAAGGCTCCAGCCGCATCATGTTAAGGACTATGTGCATGTCCCTGCCCCTGGATTAGTGCACTGTCCTCTCACTACTGCAGCTAAGAATAACTTGCCAACAGCCATCTCACAGTGCAAAGCTGCAACTTCATGCTCTGGTTACAGTCATTAAGATGTTTTTACAGAGCCTTTATGTTTGTTGTGAGGACAATGATGACTTTAGAAACATGAAACTGTAGCTTCCTGCTGTGAGGGTCGAACTAGGATGAGGAGACAAGGAAACAATGAGAAAGGAGCAAATATGCTGCTGAGGATATGTGTGTGTGTGTGTGTGTGTGTGTGTGTGTGTTTATTCATGTTTTTATACAGGTAGTTGATCTTTATGTGAGACCACACTAGTGTCCATGTGTTAGGAGCAGCCAGGGTCCTATGCCCTAAAACTAACACTCATATATTTATTTGCAATTGGAAATACACTGCATTAATACACCCTGGGGGCAAAAGTAAAAAACATATGTGGGGTCACGTCTGAGAAACGAAGCTCTGGGGTATGGTTACAGAAGGTGATGGATCTACAGACACACTAGTAGTGTCTGTCAGTGCTAATGCTAGCAGGATTATATTCTCACAGTGACAATTCTAACATTCTCTGTGAATGTTCAGGTGTTAACTGTCAGTGTAGACAAACACAGAGCTGTTGTCTTTAACCTGGATTTACACCGATTTGGTGGCTCAGTCATTGCAGAAGCTTGGAAATCTCTGTTGGTCAACGTTTAATGCCCACAGGCCAAGACCCAGTCATCATTTCATTTCTGGTTCAGTTGTCTGACCACCTAAACAAAGAAATATGTAAATAACAGTAACTATGTGGTGACCTCTTGGTGACTTTTCATAAAAAGTCTTATGTCCATCCCCTGTGCTGAAGCATAGATTTCAGTGAAAAAATTTTGTTTGACAAAAACATTAACTTAGTTAGCGTTGGTTGCTAATTAGCTACAGCAAAAGACAAGCTATCATTTGTAGGTTAACTACAAAATCCACTTTAAATGCAGAAATTCTGAAGCTCTTAGTAATTTACAAATGTATTAAAGTCATACTGTTGTCATGGCATGAGCTGCGGTTATTCATACTTCGCACTGCAGTTACACACCTGCAGTTGTTTGTCTGTTCGACTTCCACAACTTCTGCTGTTATGATACTAAAGTGCCTGAGCAGAGTTTGTGCTGACTTAGATCACAATAAATGCACAAAAAAGTACCTTTGGATTCTAAATTTGGTTAATAAGGTCAATTAAAATGTACTGCAAAAGAATTTAACAATTATTACAGCTGTTTGCGCTGAAACATTCGAGGATGTACCCCCTCAGGTTGAATGGGCATCACACCTGTGACTGTTGCGATATATAACCAAGCATCATATTTTATAAATCTTATGTTGTAGCGTGACAGATAAATGTGGCGGAGTAAAAATGACCAGATTTCTCACTGAAATGTAGGAGTAGAGGTATAAATCTGCATAAAGTGAAAAAAACACAAGGATTTTGCCACTTGAGTAAATGCATTTTGCTGCTTTCCGCCACTGAAACTAGCCCAGATAAAAGCAGACCTGGTGTTTTGTTTGACTACAGACTGATTCAGTTTCCTGTTCTGGGTTAAAAATAATATTAACCGGGGTTAGGTTCACACAGAGTCTCCCAGTCCAAGCCACAGCATCCGTGTGTGAGTGGGAGACAGAGAGCTGAGCCGAGTCTCACTCCGTGGTACTTGAGGTCTTGTTTCCAGTTACAGAGGGAAACGGTAACCATAACAACAGGTAACCGCTAACAACCAGCATCCCTAACGACTGCAGCTCACAAATTAGCTCAGTAATTACAGAGGCACAGTTCAGAGCCGCTGCTGCTGCTGATAACAACGGGCTTTTCTAAAGTGTTTTCCAAGCTGGCAAACAGCAGCCATGTAGCAGCGCTGCAGCTCAGATGGAGAAACAGCCCGAAGACAACAACAGTGAATAATCAGCATGTCATGATTATGCACCAGCACACCTTGTGTGTTTCCTACAGGTGATGAATGTGCCCACTTCCCCTTGAAACATTTGCAAAGCATATTTTTAATTACTTTAAAAGCAGTCTTGTAACTTTCACGTTTTCTGGCCTGTTTTTGATTGTGCATTGTTGTATTACTGCCCGCTGTAGATGAGCGAGACAACATTAGCAGCACTACTCCCTAGTGCTACTACTGCTCCTTTACCTTCACATGAATAATTTGACATTTTAGAACATGTTCCTATTTACTGAGAACTGGATGAGAAGATGATGTGTGCACAGGTCAAATAAATATAAGATGGTAATTAGTGAGGTTTAGAGATGAATGTTGTTACTTCTGAACAGAGCCAGACTAGCTGTTACCTCCCATTTACAGCCTTTATGCTAAGCTAAGCTAGCTGGCTACTAGAGGGAGCTTCCTACAGACATAAAAGTGGCATCAGTCTGAACATCTAAGATCATGCCTTTCATCCCAGAGTGTTTAATAAATGCACCCGTCAGCCACACAACAGAAGAAGTAGAGGTTTGTTTCTGTTGTTAGTGGGTGTTGGTACAGTAGTAGTGAGGAGACGTGCGGTCCTGAATCACACTCTCCAGCACCTGAGGGAGCTTCATCAACCTCCTATCACCTTATCTGTGTGTTTGAATGTTTCACAATGCCTCAGTATACACTCTGCTGTGTGCTAAATGTGTGTGTCTGTGGGCCAGGGCGGCTGCACGGAGACAGTGGCTTGGAGGGGAGAGTGGGAGGAGTGCAGCCATGAATTTAAGAAGTCTTGACAGCAGATGTCTGCATAATAACACACAGAGAGGACATGTGTAAGCAGAAGTACACCATGTCATGCGTGCCAGTCATTTAAAGTAACAGCTTCCTCTTGCAGCTTAAAACATGCACAGATTATGTGCAGAAAAGGCTGCAGATGCTGCTGAGTGGATTTGTAAATCAGGGTTGCGAGATATAACTGAGGATGGATTTGAAACGTGATGTATTTTGATGAGCTTGGCCCAACGTTGCTAGGGAGAGGACCAATTTTTTGAAGTGTGACTGGTGGTTTGTCAGTGAGCATTTAACAGATGCTAATGTGTAGGAGGAGGCTGGACCAAGTAAGCACAGCACGTATACAATCTGACAGTACTGCTTGTTAAAATTCACAGCTGAAATCCAAAACGGATCCAGGTCTTGGTTGTGCAAGGCGATCTGTAGAGGTTTTCATGAGATCGGTGAAGGCAACGCGGTCGTCACATTGTTTCCTCGCTTGTCGTCATCATAGAGAAAACATCTCTGGCCAGACAAAAAATCTGGGCTCGGTGTCAAGATGGCAGCTGGTTAACACAGGCTCCTGTCTGTCTCCTCCTCTAGTAGTCAAATCTCTGTGAGGACCACTTTATGTGTTAAACCTGTCCTCTCCAGCTGCTCATGGGTTAAGTGATCACTCCATATGATTGCCGCATAACTGTGTCTTCCTGTCTAGTCTTTGTGTGTCCTGGCTGACCTCAGGAGGCGCTGCAGGTTCACTGAGTGTGAACTGGTTTGTGACATTCTGATGGATCATTTGTTCAACAATAACAATGATGTGGCACCTTTCCCTGCAGAATGTATATCCAGCACTAAAGCAGCACATTATATCCTGTCATGTCATTGCACATCATTTCATGTTATGCTGGGGCATCTTGTGTTGTCTCGTGTTTTGTCATCTCATGATGCCTCATTACAGTACTCATTACTGTACAGTAGTTGTTGCATCACATTATATTATGTCAGTTTTGTTGAGTTGTATGGAGTTGTTGCATCACATTATATTATGTCACACATTTCTCTCATCTTCTCCTGCTCTCTGATAAAAACCAGAATTTCGTGTCTTGTGTCTGTGAAGTTTACACTTCTATTTCGTATAGGCCTCGCCCTCTAAGAGCTGTTGGGTTTATCCCTCGCGCATGCGCAGTCTTGAAGAGATTCTTTCACGCCCTGTGCCTTGCACTGGGCTGTCCTCAATTAGGTCCGCAGCAGCAGTATAACTGCCACTGTGACCTAAGCTCGCTTCCCTCTTTTTCTTCAACGATTCTCTCCCACACAGGAGGCGAACGATGAAACTGAGCATAGGACGTTTTTTTTTCCCCCTCTCAGCCCTTTCTTCAGCGCCCTCCCATGGGTTACGCAGAACAAACACTCGTTTCTGGCAACGGCGGAAAGGGCGCGCCATTGGTTAGCGACGGTGCACTTGAGCGCGCCACGCACGAACGCGCGTCCCCTGACTGAGCGTTACGCGGTGTGGTGAGACCGGCTATCCATGAACGATTGGATGGACAAGCTGATTCGCACCGGCTACACTCTCCAATTCTCTCTGCTTTCAAAGCCGCTTTCAGCGGCGCTGGAGA